AGCCGCACTCCTGGTCCATGGAGAACTCCCTAACTCCGTCTCCTCAGATGAACTGTGAAGTGCAGAAGCTGGTGAATGACGAGAGAGCTACAAAGTAGAAACCAGATTTAGTCAGTCCTCAGATCCCTGGCCCCCTTTCTTCCTAGAACGTGGAATGCCAAGCCATTATCATAAGGGCTCAGCTACCCTAGGGGCCAAGTCATGCTTGAACCTCACCAAAGCAATGTAGTCAGAAAGGCCTGCTGTGGGTCCATCTCTCCAAATCAGTGTGCTCTTTTTGGTGGTGGTTATTCTCATTAGTTGTACGTGACAGTAGAGTGCATTTTGATATATTATACACAAATGGAGCACAACTTCTCATTCCTCTGGTTGTACAAGGTGCAGAGTCATCCACTAGAGTAATTATATAGTATATAGGGTAATATGTCTGTCTCTACTATCCTTCCCATCCCCACTGCCCCACCCCCCCCCTACACAAACCAAAGTTCCTTCATTCCTCCCTACCACTCGCCCCACTATGGATCAGCATCCACTTATCAGAGAAAACATTCGGCTTTTGGTTTTGGGGGATTGGCCTATTTCACTTAGCATGACATTCTTTAACTCCATCCATTTACCTGCAAATGCCATGATTTCATTCTTCTTTAAGGCTGAATAATATTCCACTGTGTAATATTGTAATAATATTCCACTTTATCCATTCATCTTGAAGGGCATCTAGTTTGATTACACAGTTTAGCTATCGTGACTTAAGCTCCTATAAACATTGATGTGGCTGCGTCACTGTAGTATGTTGATTTTAAGTCCTTTGGTATAAACCGAGGAGTGGGACAGCTGGGTCAAATGGTGGTTCTATTCCAAGTTTTCTGGGGTACCTACATACTGCTTTCCATAGCGGTTGCACCAATTTGCAGTCCCACCAGCAGTGTATGAGTGTACTTTTTTTCCCCCATATCCTCGCCAACACTTATTATTGCTTGTATTCTTGATATTTGCCATTCTGACTGGAGTGATTTGCATTTATCTAATTGTTACAGAAATTCAAAAAGATGATGAACATTTTTTGTGTGTGTTTGTTGATCGATTGTATTTCTTATTCTGTGAAATGTCTGCTCAGTTCCTTGGCCCCTTATTGATTATTTTTGTTGTTGTTGTTGTTGTTTGTTTGTTTGTTTTTTTTTTGTTTTGTTTTGCTGTTAGGTTTTCTGAGTTCTTTATATATCCTGGAAATCAGTGCTCTATCTGAGGTGCATGTGGTAAAGAGTTTCTCCCGATCTGTGGGCTCTCTCATCTTGTTATTGCATATCAGTGCTCTATCTTGAACTAGGTTATCAAGGAACTCCAGCTGAGCACCCACAGACACCATAGCAGTATTCTAGCACTGAGAATTGTAAAGAAATAAAGCTCCCTGGCTCTGCAGAAGCTTTTCATTTCCAGAGATGGCAAATATTTATTAGACTCTCGCTTTGTGCCAGGTACGGATCCAGGCACCAGGGAAAGAGCAATAAACAAAATAGATTAAGGCCCTGATTTCTGGCACACATGATGTTGAAAGATGGAGAGAGGTGGATAATTAACAAATGGCTAAGTAAATTAAATAGTGTGTCGGGTGGTTGTAAGTAACAGAGAGAAAATAAAATCAAGAAAAGGAGTGTATGAAGGGAGGGTGTGTGATATGGTATAGTCAGAAAGGGACAGGGTACTGCTGGCATGGATGCTGGCTTGAGACCCAATCAGCCCACTTTGGAGCCTCCCTGATGGCTGGGGAAAGGAGTAAAGAGCCTTCAGCAGAGGTTGGGGTAGCTCGTTAAACCAGGGAGCAGAATAGAAGACAAGAAAGAGCCTCAGGGATCTGCAGCCTGTGAGGGCCACGTGTTCCCTTGAGTCGAAGCCGGTTCATGAGCCACAGACCTCGGCTAGCAGAAAGTTGGTGGCCAGGCAAGAAGAAAATGTGGAACTGGAGTTGAGCAAATGCCAGCCTGGGCACCCCAGGAACCAGCACAAAGTTAGGTGCCCCTCCCTTTGAATAGCCACCCGAAGACCTTTAAGCGCACTGGGCCTCCCTCCCATTACACTAGGATCACCTTAGGGAATGACCTTATTTGAGAACTGACTACTTATCTAGAGGGTCTGTATCACTGATCAAACTGGATTATGCTTTGCTCAGGCTACATCACTCATTTTCTCGTGCTGCCCAGGAGCTGAGAGCTTGGAGGAAATCAGATCAACTATACATGAAGAAATTACATTTTCTCTGCCTAGGATGAAGCAAGAGGGAGGGAGAAAGTGAAGACAGTAGCTACAGAAACTCAAAATTTTGAGTTTTTCTGAAAACATAGACGTGACCTAGAAGAGAAAAAATCTGATGACCTAGGAGAAAGGGATTTGATAGTAATACCCTCGAGGAGGGCAATGGAGTGCTTCAGGTGCTGAGCTGACTCCAGCTACCAGTGCCACCAACTTATTCACTTGCCCAGAGGGGAGGACGGTGGGGGTGTGGTAGTGGGAGACAGGGTATAGAAGCTTTTTTTTTCACTTTGCTTTAATTTTCTTTCAGAGAAACAGTGCATGATCTCCACTCAGGCGTTAGAATGTGTGTGTGTGGGGGGGGTAGGGTTTAGGGAGACAGGAGAATATATCAGCAGAGTCTGAAGGGCAGGAAATTGAATGAGGTAGGGTAAGTATTCTGATGGCAGAAAAAGCTAAGCACGCTGCTAGAGGCTGTGCATTTGCAAAGAAACAACTCTGCAGCCAAGTGGAAATATGCATGGGCCAGGCTGCCCTGCCAGCTCTGCTCTGGTGGAGTAGACAGGTATGACAATGGAGCAAAGAGCAAAACCACTGAGGATGAGTCTTTGGGATGACTGTCGCCACTCATGGCGTTTAGGTTGTAAGAAAGTGAGGTTATCAGGCATGTGAGGAACAAGGAAAAGGCAGGAGGAGCAACGGATAAGAGGATCCTGTGGAGTGAAGGATTTCAGGACCAGAGGCAGGAAGGAATGTGAGCAAAAAGAGAGCAGACGGAGGTCAGAAGTGGAGATGGAAGAGGGCTCTCAGGTCCTGGTAATGGTAAGATGTAAGGTATGCTCACAAAAGCAGCTGGCAGAGATGGGGTGCCAGATAGGATCACTAATAGAAAGGGGGTCAATGAACCCCAAGATCAGGCACATGTGAGTGGGTGTGTATTTTATCAGATGCAGTGCTTGAGAGAGAAGATGAGGTACCCAATCCTCGGGCAATGAGGATGAGTGATGGGTAGGGGCTGCACAGGGTGGAATGTGATGAATTCAGACTCAAATCTACTTTTTAGGACAGCTGGAAATAACAAGGGCAAGGGAAGTGACAGTTACCTTCCACGAAGTTTCTGCATGTGAGAGAGAACTTGCAAGGGAAGCATGTTCCTAAGATGAAGCCAGGTTTCAGATCCAAAAAAAAGAGAAGGGAACTTGGGAGAAAAGGTTGAAAGTTTTTAACAAGATGCGTTTAAAAAAAAAAAAAAGCTAGACAGGCATTCATCCACATAAAGGAGCTGGCGGAAGCTCCAGAGCAGTGGTGTTGGGGTTGTGGCTCAGGGGTAGAGCACACGCCTAGAACATAGGAGGCCCTGGGTTTGATCCTCCACACCACATAAAGATCAATAAATAAAATAAAGGTATTGTGTCCAACTACAATTAAAAAATAAATATTAAAAAAAAAGTTCCAGAGCAGTATAGGAAGCTTGGGTGAGGATAGAGGGAGTGGGAGACAGATTTCCGGGCTGGGGCTGGGCGGTGTGGCAGGTCCTCAGGCTTGCAGGCTCAGGTGTTAGGCTAGACATTCTCCAAATCCCAGACCCAACTCTTTGCCTGTTTGATCTCGAGGGAAACCCTATTTGTCCACCAGGAAGCAGCTCCTCAGGGGCATGAGGATTAAACTGAAAGCACAGGGCCAGACACAACCTAGGCACGCAGTGGGCGTCAGCTATTGTCATTTTGATCACGGTGAGCTGACTCAAACATCAGTTTTCATCCATTTCCTGAATTTCTGTTGTTCCGGGTGTTGGCTGTTTTTTGAAATTTATAAAACACTCTGTACATAAAAACTATGCCTCACATGTGACAGTATTCAAGCATACATTTCAACATTTAGGTATCATTCTTTTTTTAAAATATTTTTTTAGTTGTAGATGAACATAATATCTTATTTATTTTTATATGGTGCTGAGGATCGAACTCAGTGCTTCACACGTGCAAGGCAGGCGCTCTGCCACTGAGCTATAGCCCCAGCCCTTAAGTCTCATTCTTTATTATGAGCAACCCTGCCCCTGTTTAGAAATTCCAGGGATCCTTGGAATTATTTAGTAAGCTCCTTCCACCACCATTTGGAATTCAGAATAGTGGCCTTGACGAGGACAAGACTGGGCCAAGATCACACAGAAACTCAATCCTGGTAGCTAGGACTAGTGGCTCTGACTTCTAGTCTTGACTGCTCTTCTGTTTGGGGTGTAGCTTCCTAGTGGTCATGGGGGCGGGGCATTCTCCTTCCAGACAGAAGCAGAGATCCCCCAGAAAGCCCCCTGTGTTCTTGACTTACAAAAAGTGCTCGCAGCGCGCAGGGGCCAATACCAACCTCTCGGAGGTTAAGGAATCGCTTACCGGGAGTGGGTAGGGCTCCCGCCCTGCGGCCGCCGCGAGTTCCAATTGGCGCAAGGGAAGCGCCTCGGTTTACCCAGGGGCTGGGAGGGCGCGGGGAGCGGTACCCCGGCGGGCGAGGGCCGGGGGCGGAGACTGCGCGCCGCTGGCTCCCGAGCGCCGGGCAGCGAACCCTCAGAGCCGCCTTCCCGCGCCAGGAGCGGCGGGGCTCGGCGGTACCCGCAGGGGTTCCACGGGGCTCGCAGCGTCGCTGCGCTCCGCCGTCGGACCGGGCGCGCCCTGCGGAAGGCAGGGAGAAGAAGCGCTCCCCACGGGGGCCACGCACGGGCCTCCTGCGCCACCCGGGCTGAGCGGCCGCGCGGTGCTGCCATGGGTAGCCCCTGGAACGGCAGCGACGGCCCCGAGGGCGCGCGGGAGCCTCCTTGGGCCTCGCTGCCGCCGTGCGACGAGCGCCGCTGCTCCACCTTCCCCCTGAGGACGCTGGTGCCGGTGACCGTCGTGTGCCTGGGCCTGTTCGCCGTCGGGGTGAGCGGGAACGTGGTGACCGTGCTGCTGATCGGGCGCTACCGGGACATGCGGACCACCACCAACTTGTACCTGGGCAGCATGGCCGTGTCCGACCTGCTCATCCTTCTCGGGCTCCCCTTCGACCTGTACCGCCTCTGGCGCTCACGGCCCTGGGTGTTCGGGTCGCTGCTCTGCCGCCTGTCCCTGTACCTGGGCGAGGGCTGCACCTACGCCACTCTGCTGCACATGACAGCCCTCAGCGTCGAGCGCTACCTGGCCATCTGCCGTCCGCTGCGTGCCCGCGTCCTCATCACCCGGCGCCGCGTCCGCGCGCTCATCGGTGCTCTCTGGGCGGTGGCCCTGCTCTCCGCAGGGCCCTTCTTTTTTCTGGTGGACGTCGAGCAGGACCCCAGCATCTACCCGATCGTGGACCTTAACGGCACTGAGCAACACACCTTCTTGTCCAGCGTGCCGCCGCCCCTCTGGCCCTCGCGGGCGCCACTGTCGTCCCCGCCCTCCGGACCTGAGGCTGCAGCGGCCGCGGCGCTGTTCAGCCGCGAGTGCAGGCCAAGCCGCGCACGGTTGGGTACATTGCGGGTCATGCTGTGGGTTACCACTGCCTACTTCTTCCTGCCCTTCCTGTGCCTCAGTGTCCTCTACGGGCTCATCGGGCGAGAGCTGTGGAAGAACCGAGATCCGCTGCAAGGTCCTGCTGCCTTGGGGCGGGAGAGGAGCCACCGGCAGACAGTCCGCGTCCTGCGTAAGTCCTGCCACCTCTCTTCCAAACTCGCCAGTCCTTGGTCAGCACCGCAAGTGGGAACAGGCAAACTGCTTGCCCTCTACCTCCAGAGAAAACCATCTCTAGTCCCCCAGGGTTTGAGGAACCCAGGGCTCGGATCTAGCAAACAGTAATGACTTCCCAATGCTGCTGAGATCCAGGATGGGTGGCTGGCCCGCCTCTGTTAGAAACCGCAGCTGTGGATTAATCACAGTACCCTTTGAGAACACGGGTAGATTGCATTAAACTAAAATTTCATTTAGTGTTAAGTTATCCCAAAGACTGAGGTGAACCATGCCCATATCAAAAAGTCAAGGATGCATAGACCTGTTGCAGATTTTTTTCCCCCAAGATAATGTGCTTCTTAAGCGGGTTTGTAAAAGGAAGGCTGCCAAAACAGCTTGTTGGGAGCAATTGTTTTTTCTGGCTTATGCCCAGTCTTGATAACACATGCATGAGTTTTAAAGCAAATATAGATGCAGTTAAATACCTGGTTGGTTTTTGTCCTTGCATACATATTTGCTAGGTGAAACTTTTATCTAATTTATTTTGTTGCTATGCTACTGCAGGTGGATTTTTTTATTTTTATTTTTTTGCGGGGCGGGGGGTGGGTATTTCATTTTTTAATGCTTTTGCTAATGTGTCTGTGTCTTGTTTTGCAGTGATGGTGGTTTTGGCATTTGTAGTTTGCTGGTTGCCTTTCCACGTAGGCAGAATCATTTACATAAACACCGAAGATTCCCGGATGATGTACTTTTCTCAGTACTTCAACATTGTCGCCCTGCAACTATTCTATCTGAGTGCATCCATCAACCCAATCCTCTACAACCTCATTTCCAAGAAGTACAGAGCAGCCGCCCGTAAACTGCTGCTTGCAAAACGGTCCAAACCAAGAGGTTTCTGCAGAAGCAAGGACACTGGGGGGGGCCCTGGGGGAGACACTGGAGTCACAGTTGGCTACACAGAGACCAGTGCTAACACAAAGACAATGGCCTAACCAGCACAGCTGAGCCAATTACAAGACTTTGGAGACAACAGGTCTGTAGAGAAATAAAGACAGAAAGTGGGGTATGAATGCTGTTTAAGAATGAGAGTTGTTGAAATTTTGCAAGCTGGTTAGAAATTGTTGGCATGATTTTTTTAAAAACCAAAGTATAAAATGTTTCTGTACCAGTTATTACAGTTTCCCTTTCATGTATCTGTATTCACTTTAGCATCATGAAATCCCACATCTATAGTGTGTCTGGAAGAGGTTTTCTAAGTCTTCATTCATTCTACTCTGGGAATAAGATCAATCATTTTATAGTTAAGTGATAGAGCAATGCTGCCTAAAAATTGTCACCTCTGAGATCAGGGGTGTATTTTGTTCAGTTTGGGATATAAATATACATATACAAGGAAACAGGATGATGAGTTTGGATCCAAGAATTATTTAATACCTATATATAGTATATTTAATACCTATATATGGCCATATAGACCATATATGGCTTTGTGAAAAACTTTTAGAAGTAAGAATTTCAGGTAGACTCCAATGTTCAGGAGTCCCACCTCTCAACAGACTGGGAGCAAATAAACTTTTGGCTAAATGTGCTTTTTGAGACCTGCTATGAATAAAACCAGTGCAACCCACTTTTCCCTGGAACTGCCTATGGGGTTGTACTAATGCCACTAGCCTTGAAGTAGCAAAGTTGGGCACAGAGACAAGAGGACAGAGAGCTTGGCCTTCTGAGATGACTACTGATGAGCTTTGAAAAGAACTTTAATCTACCTTCCTTTGTCTCAGCCTATATGGATGAGAATTGTCATCATCCCTGTTTTACTAGTGACAGAACTGACTCTCAGATTTCCCAGACAGGAACTAGGAAGGCTTGAGTCTGAATCCAGACTTTGAAATACTCACCCACCCTCAATGAGATTGTAATTGTTGAAAAACATACAGGTTGCTTTGTGAAAGAGAATGCATTGGACATTCTAATGAACAATTCTGAAACTTTGTTTTGTTTTTTACAGTTTAAAACATAAATGTTCCCAGCAGCTCTGGAGGCTGAGGCAGGAGGATCACAAGTTCAAAGTTAGCTTCAGCAATTTAGCGAGGCCCTAAGCAACTCAACGAGACCCTATCTCTAAATAAAATATTAAAAAGGAACTCATGTAGCTCAGTGGTTAAGTGCCCCTGGGTTCAATTCCCAGTACCTAAATAAATGTGTTTTCAGAAGGCTGCTGCTGTATCACACAGACAAGGCCTCATCAGCCTCAGTCTGTATAAATGGCGCCCCTGTAAGTGAGCAAAGCCTGACTTGCTCAATTGTACTTGGGTTCCTTTTGGGGTTGATAAAGTTCATCCCTAAATTACAGTAGATGGTTGATACTTATTACGAATTTTTATTGAGATGTTCATGAACCTTCAAATCCACAAATATCAAAAGAGTGTCAAATGCTGTAAAATAGAACTTCATCAGTTATAGTGACAAACAGAAGTAAGGTCTCAGAATGGGATTCAGAAGCTGGAGAGTTAGCTCAGTTTACTCGCTAACTTGGGGACTTTGCTTCACAGCTCACAGTTTGGGCAGCCTCCATTTCTAAATTGCTTCAGGTCCCACAAATCGTTATGGTCTGTTTTGAATAGTTACAACTACAAATGATGAATACATAAACAACCAGGGTCTTCTTGACCGGCTGACAAAGTTCTGTTGCTTTTTCGTTTTATTAGCCAAACCCAAGCTCAGCATCCTGACTCCCTGGTCTGTCCTCAGTGTGTGCAGGAGTGAAGCCTCTTCCCTGCCTTTGATCCCAGCTAGTGAGGAAGAAACCCTCCACCAACACTCCCCAAGTGACAGTATGACCTAATGAGTCAAAGACTGAGAAGCTGTTGTTTCACTCAGGATTTCCTTCATTTATTTTATTTTTATTTTTTAATTGTAAACGGATGGACAATATCTTTTTATGTATTTATTTTTATGTGGTGCTGAGGATGGAACCCAGCGCCTCATACGTCTGAGGCAAGTGCTCAACCACTGACCTACAGCCCCAGCCCTCCTTCACTTATTTTATCACAGAACCAACTCCCCACCTTCCTTTCCAGGAACACCTGCTGAAACCTCACAGAATGAGGCACAGTACTGGGGGACCAGGCTTGGATTTGGGGATCTCATGGCAGAGAGCCAGCCTGTGCTGCTACCACTGTCCGCGTGATAGCCCTGAGTCGGGATGAGCTGGAGCTCTCTGCTCACAGGAATCCCTCTCTGGAGCAGTCAAAAGCTGACTTCTCCCCAGGAGAGATCACAATGAAGAACCTTACAAATAACCAAAAATATTGTAGATACAGAAGCAAAGACTTTTCCTTTGAGCTTTCTTGTTCAAATTCTAGAAAGCAGGGATTTATATCACATTCTTCTAAGACCTAAGTATGTTCCCAGGTATGGGTATGGGGAGGGTCACCGTTACCTGCACTGCACAGTTCCTGTCCAGGAGAACTGGAAGCCTATCTTTCCTGCAGGGTCCCTGTCTGATCTTAGCCTGTTCATGAAATTTGAAATCATTTGTAATGGTCACTTTTTCTGCAAAACAACAGAGTGAATAAGAACAGAATAGAAATATCAATGCATCACATGTTGGTTGGTTTCTTTCCTGGTTCACAAAATAAAACATATCTTTACTGTAAGTCACGGTCAAAAATTTGTTTGAAAAGTTGTTTTGAGATCTAAAATTGTTCTCCACGCTGGAAGAGGGTCTGTTCTTGCACTGACAACTGTCAATAAAAGGAAGGTATTGAGAAGACCCAGAGTGGTCAAGTCAAGGGTCACTGGAGAGGACAATGAAGCTGTGGATTACTGTCCTGGTCCTCCCTCTCCTCCCTGGGCATGTCATGGCAGCTGTGCCCTGACTACTCCCTCCACCCTGACTGAGGTCTGTGCTGGCATTCCAGCAACTTATCTGAGCCCCTTTCCCTTCTATAGGCCAAACCATTTTTGTTAGGAGAACTGTCAACCCTTGTGGGAGAGTTTGTTATTTCATTCATTCGCAGGGCAAATATTTACCAAGCAACTGCTAAGTGCCAGATGTGTAGGACAAAATACTCTAGAAAAATTAGTCCTTGCCATGGTATCAAAATCAATCAACTTTTTAATGGCATTTTTTTTGTTTGAAATGTGTCATTGTGTCACCTAGACTAAACACAGATTCAGCTTACAGGTTAATAAAAGCACTTACATCAGATGGAAGCAGAATATCAGGTTGCTCCTCTTTCACATAGAAGACATTTGCACTTCTGCAGGAAATGTTCTCAGAGCTATTGTACAACACCTCCTCGCATCCAAGGGACCCCTGTGCCAGGTTCACAAGAAGCCACAGAAGCCATGTGTCAATGGTGTTTGAAAGTTTGAACATGCCCTCTCCTGACCCTTTCTACTCATGTCATAACATTTGCCAGTGTATGGAAGTGTTTTGTATTTAAGTGTTAGTGGTTGCACAAGTGTAGAGGTTTAAAAGGGCTTTACTTAAACACAGATGCTGTGCAGTTTTTTAATTGGGAATGCACTTTCTAAAGATCCCAAACTCTATACACTACAGAGCCCCCCGCTCAGCCCTGAGCAATCTTCAAAACCCAACATTTCCTTTCCCAAGAGCACAAGAATATTTGTGCTCATTGAGCCAGCCCTATGGGAATGCTGTGTGGGCAACTACTCACCCGTCCCTCATCCTGTGTAAGTTACAGAGGAGGTGAGAAAACAAGGCTCTTCTCATCACCTCCTTAGAAAAACAATTCACTTTTATTTTTCTGTGCTGAAGATCAAACCCAGAATCTTGCACACACTAGGCAAGCATCTACCACTGAGCCACAATCCCAGCCCATGACACATACTTTTAAAAGAAGATCAGACACCTAGCTGAGTGCTATAATCCCAGCCACTCAGGAGGCTGAGGCCAGAGGATAGCAAGTTGGAGGACAACCTGAGAAATTTAGCAAGACCTTGTTTCAAATAAAATTTTATAAGGGCTAAGGATGTAGCTCAGTGATAGAGCACTTGCCTAGCATGTGTGAGGCTCTGGGTTTGATAGAGATAGGTAGATGATAGGTAGGTAGATAGATGATAGATAGATAGATTAGGCATCTATGTGAAAAGAGCTGAAACTCATCAGCTAGATCAGAAGAACTGAGCATGGGCAGTCAGGGTGATGGTCTATGGTCCTTCTTACCCACTTAACAGGTTTCCTTGCAGGTGACTGTTTCCACTGGTAATGATCCCCAAAGACAAAGGCCAGGTGTTCTTTTCCAGTCTGCCTCTCTTGTTGAGGTGAATAATTTGCACGGAACTCAACTGCTAGTGAGGGAACGAGGTCTTCACCTCAGTGGATGAATAGAGTAAATGAACAGATAACTGCGGCCTTTGTTCTGAGCCATCGGACAGCACAAATAAAAGGGTAAGACAGGAGTGACCCAGCACACAGGAGGAGCCAGAACTGCTGCGTGGTACCAAGGAAAGGTCTCCAGAGAGGAGGAGAGGAAGGAGAATGCACTGATTAAATGGGAGCAGCAGGTGACGGGAGGCTGGGGCCGGGAGACCAGTTTGGACTAGCCACTTGCCCACAACCATGGTCTAGGACACTTGTGGGGTGGAGCAAAGCTGGATTTTCACTTTTACAGCTTCAGCACCTCCCAAAGCCCTTTCCCCATCCTTATGCAGCCCAAGATGTTCCAGTGACTCCCACCTGAACCTCTGTACCACCTACAAGCCCCCTCCCCATCTAAGGCCCAGCTAGGCCCTTCAAGGAAAGGACCATGGTTTTGCATTTCCTTTCTTTCAGCTCTACAGTGTGTATGCAAGTCTAAAATGTTCTATGAATTTCTACTACTTGTCGTGATAAGAGAAATAAATAAGATTTTAAAATTTTTCAAAAGCTAATACATGTAGGCTGGGGTTGTGGCTTGGTGGTAGAGCACTTGCCTACCATGTGTGAGGCACTGGGTTCAATTCTCAGCACCACATATAAATAAATAAAAATAAAGATCATTGACAATTTTAAAAATATTTTAGGGGCTGGGACCGTAGGTCAGTGGCAGAGCACTTGCCTAGAATGTGTGAGGCACTTGGTGCTATCCTTAGCACCACATAAAAATGAAACAAATAAAATAAAGACAAGCTGTCCATCTATAACTACAAAAAAAATTAAATATTTTTAAAAGTGAATACATGCAAAATTCAAAGTTGTAACAAGTCTTTTAAAAGTTTCAGAGGCTGGGGATGTGGCTCTGTGGTAGAGCACTTGTCTATAAAATGATGAGGACTTGGATTCAATCTTGGGGAGAAAAAGAAAAGAAAAAAAAAATCACTGTAACAGTTATGCCCACTCATAACTGGAACATAAATAGGACTAACCCTGATCTTTCTTCTTACTGTCTTCTTCCACAAATAGTTCATTACTTTGTTTTTATAGTGACTCTCAGTGCCAGCCCCTCTCAGGCTTTTTATTCCCCACCCTCTTTCACTAGATCAGCAGTTCTCAAACTTCAGTTCACCTCAGAATCACCTGGAAGACTTGTTAAAGCTCAGACTTCAGGGCTTCTCCCAGAATTTCCAATGTAGTAGGTCTGGAGTGAGACCAAGAATTTGCATTTCTATCAAGTTCCCTTCTAGGTGATGCTGATTCTGATGGTCTGAGAGCCTCTAGGATAGATTCTTGCTGCAGAACATGGAGTCCACAGTCGGATGAGGCATTAGCATCTTCTGGGAGCTTGTTAATATGCAGATTTTCAAATTTGTACTTCTGTCCAGTTTGTAGATGCTGTGGTATGGCTAAATTGCCCCAGGCTTGCCTTGAACTTGCCATCTTCCTGATTCAGCTTCCGCAGTCGCTAGGATTACATGTATTATTAGGTATGTGCCATCACATTCAACTTGG